TGGCCAAGGGACTTATTGCCCATACAGATAAAAGAGAGGAAATTTAATAGAAACAAGAGAATTTACAGCAACATGAAAAAAATGCCAACGACTCTCAATTTGATAGAGGATCTTAAGGATTAGCCATTAGGCTCTGATACCATGTTAAAACATAGAGAATATTGAGAGTAGAGAGTGGAAAGTGTAGAGAGAATGAGAGTTGTAGAATATTTTCTGATTTTTCACTCTTGCGAGTATCACAAGTTGAGGATGCAGTTTAATCAAGTTTGGCTTAGCTGAATCCGACAACAACACTAGCTCAAACCAATGGTGGCATTGCACAAAATGTTTTTTTAAAGAAAAATCTAAACTATCAATTTTCATGCTCTTGTCTTTGTTAAATGCATAAGATAAACTAATTCAAAAGGAATAAGATGATTTATATCCAAGCGTGTGTGTGTGTATATATAACTGAGATTGTCACACCACGAGTTTCAAACATAAGAATAACCTGCGTAGTAATTAAAACTCCTTGAGTTGAGCTACAAACCCCTTGCTTGCGTTTTGCTAACCAGTTTTGTGGTGTAGTACTATAGTGCCATTTCTTTCCAAAAGTGCTATGTGATGCAAAGTAATCGTTTAGCTAATGTTGTTTATAATGTTTTAAAATGGACACATTTTAAAAAAAAATCCATATGCATTAATCACATGTTTACTAATTTGTAATCAGAGTGAAGATGAATCAAATTGAACATGAATGGGGGAAAGATGAATCAAAGTCACTCCAAGTCATTCTTATTAAAGTGTTTAGTAACTGAATGAGAAAACAAAGAAAAAAGGAAATTGATTCTCATTAACTTGTTTACAAAATTGCCAAGAATATCCGAATGAAAACCATTTTTATTGCCAAAATACCCTTTTACGAAAAGAAAATAAAATATAACTCCCTAGTACAAAATCTTCTAATAATATATAATATATTATATAAACGTACACTCGCAATTCTTGGATTGGATGAACAACTCGAATCTTTCCCTTGATGATAAAAGCTAAAAGAAATTGGAACACAAGATATACACACACAAAAATGTGGGGAGAGAAATGAAGAAAGGTTGCTTGAAAACTTGCTGTTCCAATATTGCTCCCCCTTCCATCCAACTAGCCTAAGGCTTTTAGAATTGGTTGCCTCTCAAGGCATTGTACCATTCTAATAAACCACATTAAAATATCTGCCCAATTTTCACAAGTTAATTGTTATAATTGAAAAAAATCAATATAGCAATTGAATACAAGAATTGGTCAAACAAAACTGACGAAAACGATTTTTTGATTCAAATCCTTGAATGCCAACGACATTGAAAACAATTAAATATTTATGGAATTGCTACAACAAAGCTTTAAGAATAAAGCTGTAGAAAAACCTTTAAAACAAGTCAATAATTATTCTAACTGAAGACTAAATTGCTCCAACTGAAACTCATGCAAATAAGCTTTTGAAATCAAAACTGATTATTATATGGGAATCAAGAGCAAGAAAATTCAAAGTTAGAAATATTTAAAAAAAGGGATCTTTTCTGGTTTGAAAAACCTATTGCAACTATTCTTTTTGACTATAAACGAATCGTCCGTTGCGGTATATAAAAAACAATCAATTTGAAAATTATGTAAGAAATGAAATGTCACAATATTTTTTTTTATACATGTCAAAGTGATGGAAAAGAAAGAATATCTTTTACGTACCCCCCTTAGTTTGGCAACCTTTTTTGAAATGATACAAAGTAAAATGTCTCTGTTTAAAAAAGAAAAATTACATTCTAATGAATTTTATAATTAGTGGAGTTATAGGAATGAATATAAAAAGAAAAAGCTAAACAATAAATTTTTAAATAGAGTAAAAGCTCTCGACAAAACTCTAAATCTAAATAAAGAATTTATTATTCGGGTAAATTACTCAAATGGTCCCCAAACTTGTACGTGATTTACATTTTGGGGCCTGAATTAAATTTTTCGTTCAAATGGTCCATCAACTCTATATTAATTACTCAAATGGTCCCACCGTCTAATTTTCTGTTAGATTTAACCAAATTTTAGGGTAAATAATGACCAATTTGCCCTCATATTTAACGGAAATATTGACAGAATGTAACGGTGGGACCAGTTGAGTAATTAATATAGAGTTTATGGACCATTTGAACGAAAAATTTAATTCAGGCCCCAAAATGTAAATCGCGTACAAGTTTGGGGACCATTTGAGTATTTAACCCTTATTGTTTTGAATAAATTAAATACATGCATTAAGATACTAAGGCTTCTTATTCCACAACAACGAAAGCACTTTTTCACTCTTTTATATACTAGGGGATTTCACTTGGAAAAGAAAATGTTCCATACTAATGGATTCGGGTCCATAACCATGGGTTCCGATGTACAAGATCTTGTAGCACTTACCAATGAGGCCCTATCGATTAGTATTACACAGAAGAAATCAATTATAAACACTAATATAATTAGATCTGCTCTTCATAGACAAACTTGGGATTTGCCATCCCAAGTAGGTTGCGACAGGGAAATGGGGTGAGAGGGGCATAGGTCGGAGAGGATTAGAATGGGTGTGGGAGTTGGGATTCTATGGGAATGGGGTAGAAAAAACGAGAGGGAAGGGGCGATGGGTCTTGGTTAGACATGGCATTCGTGTCGTGTTATCAGTATTCGTGTCGTGTTCGTGTCAACCCGTTTTTTTTAACGGGTTGACACGACACGACACGATAAGAAAACGGGTGGGAAATATCAAACACGAACACGACCCGCTCTAATTCGCGAATCACACGACACGACCCGTTTCACCCGTTAAGAAAATGAACTTTTGTAATAAAAATTTAAAAAACCTATATTTTTACATGCCCAAAAAATCAAAATCATTCCAACAAAAGCTAATATTCTTGAATTTAATCCAAAATAATACATCCATGAACATGATCCATCATAACAAAAGGAAAAGGCAAAACAAATATGAAGTAATCCATGAAGATCCGCACAAAAAAAAATCCATTAAGATGATCCAAACTTCAACATTTCACCATTGCAATTTTCCTGAAAGAAAAAAAAAAGTAACTATGAGAAAACAATTATTGATAAATATTATATTGATAAAATATCAATTACTCATCAATACCTCTCATCAATCTTCAAGAGAGATAGTATTGGAGCTTTGTCCTGATCTAGTATCTTGACAAGTAAGTTTGAAGATATCTTCAGTAAGGTTTTCCACACTAGCACTCTCTTCCTCCATAGCATCACTTTATTTCCTTTCACATGTTTGGTCTGTGTAGGAATGTAAAATAAAGTTTGTTTAATTTCAAATTATACCTATATGAAATCAAATATATAAAAAATGCATTTAATGCTATATTGTAATTCTAAATTGTTAATGAGTATAATATGGTCATGAAAAATGTGTATTTAATGTTGGCTCATTTTCCCAAACTTTCCCTTATGAGGAAAACAAAACCCAAGGGGAAGGACGGCTTCACTTTCCCCACTATTTTCCCATGTGCAAGGCAACGATTTTCCAAGGACTTACCAAACATAGGAAAACAAATGATTTTCCATCCTAAAGCCTCATTTTTCATGGACCAAACAGTTGGTAAAGTAGGATTTTATCATTATTTCAGGGAATTTAGCCTATATTAAATTAATTTAATGTGAAGAGCAGTGCTAGTGATCTTTGTGCTTGTCTACAAAGTTGAATTTGGTATATAAATTGGGTGATAAGGAAGGAACTACTAAGATTCCCCCTGGTGGGGTTTTGGGGGTTAACATAAGCTTTCTTACTTTATTGGGGTTTCTTTTGTTGCAGATGGATTTCTATATTTGTCCTTTCTCGGTGCTTTTGAAGCCAGCATTCTTCATGGAACTTGTTCTTACCAAATGGGTATGCACATTTCTACTCTGCTCTTGGCTCATCTTCTCCGGAGTATACTCAGGTAGGTGAGCTCCAATGCTTCAATTTCTTGAATTATTTGGTTCTTTCTTGAACACGCTCAATCTTGTAACATATCAATGTGAAGCAGAATTCATTCTCTTTTGCTTTTTAAATGTTATATGTTGTAATTGTTGATCCAAGTGGAGGGATTGCATGGGGACTCCAAAGTGAGAGGAGTGAACTTGGGTGGGTGGTTGGTTGTGGAAGGTTGGATTAAGCCTTCACTTTTTGATGGCATTCCCAATGGAGACATGCTGGTGAGTTTTCTTTCTAGATTTTCTTGTTTTATTTTCAGAATTCTTTTATTTTTTGTCTTCTGGGTTTTCGTTATTGTTTCAGCTGACCCATTTATGGATATTGAAATGTAGGATGGAACACAGGTACAACTGAAGTCCGTGACCTTGGAGAAGTATGTCTCTGCAGAGAATGGGGGAGGGATGAACGTCTCGGTTAGTAGAGATGTTGCATCTTCATGGGAAACCTTTACGGTAAGATGCCTGATCAAATAGTTCATGCCAGTAGTTTTCTGTTGATTGTTAACTTATAAATAGATCTTGAGTCTTGTCCGATTAAAAGTATCCGTTAAGCCCTTATGCTCAGTTTTTTCCCAGAAATAGGAGAGAGAGACTAGAACCATAATGATTTGAAAGAACTGAAAACATTCATTTAAAAACTATCTTTCCTCTCAATCCCCTTTTCAGAAATCTGAATCGGTTGTTAGGTAAAGGGGCCACTGATCTCATGAAAGAGCTAGCAACCCTTATCCTAATTTGGTAGATTTTGCTACATGATTAGCATAAGGTAAAACCTTTGGCATATCAAACACCTTACATTTAGCTCTTTATAGATATAAGACTTTTCAGCGTTAGTAGTATGAGATTTTTGAGTTGGTAATGAAAATAAAAATCCGTTTATTACGTAGTTATAGTTCAAAATAGCTTCTCTCTCTCTCTCTCTCTCTCTCTCTCTCTCTCTCTCTCTCTCACTCACTTCTTTCTGGTTTCTGTATTATAAGGAAGGGGAGTTAACTATATATACTATAAATATATGCTTATTGGACTCTAGAAAATTGAGGTCTTCAGTTTATTTTGGTTCATGTTACTCATGCTTATGCTATGTGTTTTCTGTTCTCTTGCAGTTATGGAGAGTTTCTGAATCAGAATTTCAATTCCGCACCTTGCAAGGCCAGTTTCTAACATGTGATGGCGAAGGTTGCTCTTTTTCTGCAACTGCAGAATCACCTTCAACATTAGAAACCTTTCACATTGAAAAATATAACAATGGCAGAGTTCACATCAAAACAATGAGTGGTACATATTTGCAGGTATGATCCTTTCTACTGTGAAAAGGATGAAGAAGACCCACATTATTACATTTAGAGTGAGGAATTATGTGTTTTCATGCTCTTAATTCTACCACAATTCATCTAAAAGCAGGTTAAAAACCTTCGACTAAAGAATTTTTCAGCTGTTGGTGAGACAGTTGTCAATCTCGGATTTCTCAGCATGAAATATTTATGTTGGGAAATCATTTATATTTTGGGATAGTTAATTTTCTGATTTAAACATTTTGTGTAAGTTGATATGTCAAGTAAGGATGATGTTTTTCAGAATTTTCAGTTAAATTTAAGAGAAATTTGAATCAGGGTAATTGAGATTCTTATGCTCCATTGCTCCATTTGTTTTGAAGAAATGACTCAAAGCAGAAAAAAATCTTCTGAAGGTGACTTATTCCAAGAAAATTTCAATTATTTGGCTTGCATGAAATTTCTGTGAAATGAGTGAATCTGTAATTATCCAATTACAGTTGATATTATTCTTAAAATTTATGAACAGTTGAGGAAATTTTCCACAATGTCATTACCAAAGGAATGTGTAGAAAAAGTTCTCTATTATGCCCTTAAATTATTCATGTCACCACTTAGCATGGGCTGACTTTATGAATATTTATTTTGCTAGGGATCTATTGATATGGCACCTAAGAATCATTATCTCATTGTCGATTGCCTGTGACTGTCTAAGAATTCAATAATAAAGCATTATCACCTGCAGGCTACAGTGGAAAATCAGCTCATCGCAGACTATCCAGGGAAGCCAGGATGGGATGATAATGCAGCCACATTTGAAATGGCCATTGTTTCTAATAATTTGCATGGAGATTACCAGCTGGCAAATGGATATGCACACAATAAGGCCAAAGAGGTTCTTAAGGTAACTGTATGTTACTTTCTAGCTGCCATTATAATGGGTGATTTACATCCTCTATATTATTTGATTTGATTAACTTTTTTGAATGGTATGCACATACATATCAGAATCGAAGCGGCAATAATTTTCAAATCTAGAAAAAGGGAAACAATTAGAAGGATGTGTATAATATGCTTTTCTTTTACTTTACTGATTCTATCTATATTTGTAATGGCAGAGCAATGTTCAAAATGGGAGAATAAATTTTACTGAAATATGGATGATAGAAAAGATATTCAAACATTTTTAGGATTTGACCCTTGCAATTTTAGTACCTATTTATTCCTTGTTTGCACATATTTGGCATCTGAATTTGGCTGTCATCTACTTTTGCTTCCTCAAGTTTCTTGTTCTGTTATATTTGTGGATATTGTCTTCATTGGTCAGTGCCAAATGATTATATGTTCTTGTGTGTAAATTTGAATATTCGAGCATTATACTTGTTTGATGAGAGCATCTGATTCCTATCGCTTTTTTCTTCTGTTTTTTTATTTGATATTGGGACCTTTTTAAACTGTAGAGACATAGAAACAGTTTCATCACTATAGGAGATTTCAATTTTCTGTATAAACATGGAATAAACACTGTGAGGATTCCTGTTGGCTGGTGGATTGCTTATGATCCTGATCCTCCCGCACCATTTATTGGTGGAACTTTGGAAGCTCTAGATAATGCATTCTCATGGGCACAGTAGGTCTTTCTTTCACCTAATTCTGTTCAGACTATTAATACTTAAAACATCACATTCAGTTCTGATGTCATACATTAGAACTGTGCTGCAGAGCCTATAATATTAAGTGCATAATTGACCTTCACGCGGCTCCTGGCTCCCAGAACGGGATGGAACATAGTGCTAGTAGAGATGGTTCAACAGACTGGCCTAATCCAGATTACATTTCACAAACACTGCACGTTATAGATTTTCTAGCTTCCAGGTATGTTCTTGATGTGTTTTTGAATTGCTACACTCTGACAGCAGTTAGTATGAAAATTCTAAACTCACAGAAATTGTTGTGAAATGTACATAAAAATTCTTCTCTAATATTTCTCTTAATATCAATTCTATACATAAAAATAAATAATATTAATACAACCCAAAACCATACAAAGATCAAATTGTTTGAAACTGTACACTAAATTAAAATACAAGGTTGGATATAGGTGGAAAGTCGTAGTCATAAAACACATATATAATATTTATAAATTAAAAAAATTAAAAAAAAATTGAAGTTGGGCCATTCCAAGTTTCCAACGTTGAATGGAAAAGCTGAACATTTGTTAAATTGTTAATGTTTTCTTTGTCTTTCTTTCTCTCTCTCTCCCCTAATTTCCTCTTTCTTCTCCCGTGTACTGTGTGTCTCAAGCAAATCCCAAGTTCCAGACTCCCAGTACATCAATATATAATTTCCAAAGTCCACATAAATATATAATTTCCAAACTGAAAATCAAATAAATTTACTGAATAAATTAAGAAAAACATTCATACCTTCAGAGAAGATTTGACAGCATAGAAGATCTTCAAAGACAAAGAGAGGAGAGATCGCAAGAAGAAGGAGAAGATGAGGACTTGAGAGAGAAAGAAAACTGAAGAGAAAGAAAAGAAAGCGGCAGAATGAAGAGATGCTATGCTAGGGTTAAGTTAAGGTATGTTTTTTTAGAATAGAAAATTACAAAATTACCCCCGCTTAACGGGTTGGTTCGTGTATTCGCGAATGGACACCGAAACGACCCGTTAGCTTAACGGGTGGCTAACGGGTCAACACGATAACAACACGACACGATAACTCAAACCCGAATACTGAATTTTTCGTGCGAATTCGTGTCGTGTTATCGTGTCGTGTGGGATTTTGCCATGTCTAGGTCAGACAAAATAAAAGGTAGGGCCTGCATGCCAACCAATATCGTTATACTTTAAATTTGTAAACCAACTTCTGAAAAACTTGATTTACAATATATGTTCATGTGACGTTTTGTTCTCTCTCTCTCTCTCTCTCAATATACTTCTACAATCTTTTTATAGGTAATTTATGCGGGAGGTCAATAACGTAGCGCCGACTCTGCATTGATCCATGTTCATCTCTAAATTGGAGCATACCACTTCAGAGATTTCGGGTGCTTAGAATTTCCAGTCCAATAAGACCAGTCCAAGACTTGATAAATTATTACCAAATAATAATGGCTTAAATGTAAAGTATACCGGTATTGCTATTGTTTACCTTAATGCTATGTGTGTATTAATTACTAATTTGCTACGTACCATGCTACTCTATATATATGTATGTGTCTTGTTGATATGATTTGATGTATATATTGTGCTCTCATTTCTTTAATTTACACCTAACTATTACAAATGAAGATTTTGTAACAAGAAGTCCAATAATGTTACTATAATTCTCTTGCACCTGGAAAAAAAAAAACTATAATTCTTTGCACTCCTCTACCAAATTGCCATTCATAAAGCCTTCCACCAGATCTGCACCTGCCAAAAAATTATAGACAATGGAAATTTATGATTGCATGCTTGTATGAAAGTAAGCATATGAGGATAGCGATCACACCCTAGTCCCCAAAAATTCATCCAGTTTATGTGAAAGGAAATAAAACTCATTAATCATGACAAAAGATGAGTTAATTGGTCAAACCCTATTTCGTTTCTTTCGTTGCGTAATTTGCAACATTTTTAACAAAAATAAAAAAGCAAAAACTACTGGTTGATTTATTTCACCATTTTACCTCTTCAAATAGATTAGCAAAGGGAAATTTACGATTTTTTATTTTTTATTACCAAAGTGCTCATGAACTTCTAATAGCTCTCTAAGGATAGGGCTACAGTTTCTTTTTGTGTACACTTGTAGGAGGAGTAAGACAGGCTGGGATCGTATATTTCATGCATTCCAGGAAACTTCCGAACGCTTTAATATGTTCATGACAAAGTCTGGGAACTGTATAGACAACACACTTCAGATTTTTTGGAGGTAGATACTTGACAATTTTCGGCATAAAATTATCATTTGATGAGAGTGGAAGAATTTCAGAGGGAGGTGGAGGAAGAGACGAGGGAGACAGAACATCTTTTGCTTCTACTACAATTTGGAGAAGACCCATCAATCCTAACATTATCATCATAACTACTCTCAAATAATTGTCCGCCATTGCTTTTACCTTGTTTCAGATCTTTACTGTTTTCAAGTTGAAGATATCCATAACTCTAACGTTTAAATCCTTTCACAGATTTTACCATATATATATATTCAAATAAATTTAAATTCATAAGCTTAGAGACACCATACGATCACCGAAAACTTAGCAATTCTTTTTAGGATAAAATATTTTCTAATTAGTGCCTTTTGGGTTAGCCCAAATGGTGAGTGCTTGTGACAAAATGATCAGAGAGAATTGAAAGAGGTTGAGGGGGTTTCCATTCCATCTAATGTAAATACAACCAAAAAATAATTAATTAATTGGTCCAATAAAGTGATAAATAAGATGAGGGAAAGACGAGCAGAGAAGCAACATATATCATTTGCTTGCACTGCAACTTGGATAACGCCAACAAACTAAAGAAAACAATTTAGTTTGGACACACTTATCTTGCAAGTTCCTTAAAGTCAAATTTATATGCTAACTATCATTTTGTCTAGTGGTAGTTGTCTCCATTTGGTTGGAGGAGGTCTCAAGTTCGAATCACATGGGCAAGTATGATATGTTTGTCATTAGTTCAATACTTAATTATAGCTAGCTCATTTTCATGGTGTAACTCTGTTGTGAGTGTTGCATTTCTTTATTACACTTACACCGATGTCGATTGGGTGAGGCTTCGTCAGTGTATGTTCGGTTGCCCATTCCTAGGTGAGGAGAGAAACTCTCATGCAAGGATAACAATTTTTCTATCCCCAACTAATAAGACAATGACAGATGGAATAACTTTTCCACTTGTCATTGTATCATCGGTCGAGGATAGCAAAACAGTGTTATTCCTGTTACAAGAAAGTTTTGTTTTTCCGAAATGAGGCTTTGTTCCCTTCGTGACGAGTGATAGTCCAAAGTGACGCTGGTGGGGCACCGCAGCATATGATGGTTGTTGTTGTGATGAAGTTGAGAGAAGAGGGAGGGAAAGGTGAAATTTTAAAAACAAATATGAATTAACTTAAAATTCTTAAAAGGTAATTAAAGCAATAGAAATACAACTGGCCATTTTGAATGACATTGCATCATATATAACATATTGAAAACCATCTTACGAAGGATACAAATGGTTCTCATCGTTGAATGCTTTGCGTAGTAGCTCTATCTAGAAAGGATCCCCGTTTTATTTATTTATTTTAAATAAGGGCATCCTTACTAGAAAATTCTCCACAAACATATATATACAAGTATTTTAATACCATACCATACTTGTGCCTTCCAAGTTCAGTATGAGGAATTACGTACATGAATGTTGGGTTGCAAGCTTCAATCTTTTGAATAGAAGGGCAAGAATCTTACGCTTGATCCTTCCTCTAGGAGGGACTAGGCAGTATCTCTTGGAGCTCCTTCCTAATCCGACGACTCTCGACACTGCTTCCAACTCTGCGCCGATATGATGCATAGTCTTCATGGTCGTCTTCCTCTCCATCTCCACGTTACTATGTACTGCATACATGTGCCAATGAGATGAGCCTCTGCATGTGTGTGTATCTAGTATTTAGAGAGTGAGAGAGGAAGAGAGAGTTGCATGAGAAGTAGCTTGCGCTAGCTAGAGATATCCAATATTACATCTTTTGGGGGAGAGTAGGAACCTTCGTCCCACTTTCATTTCATGCACTTTACCTACAACACAGCTTCCATGTTTTGCTCAAAATAGTGATTTTGTTGTTTAGCGAGTAGTGAATTGTGGGGGATTTTCGCTTTTAACAATAACGAGAAGTTACGAGGGGATTGAACAGTGCTACACCCAAAGTCTTGTGTCTTGTGTTTGAAATCCCCTTCTTTAATTTTGCTTGTGTCCAAAAAAAAAAGCAATAATTTTGCTGGGCCTAGGCCCACTGAATTCCAGAATTTATTTGGATCTTGAGTTTTCAGAGATCTAGAAGAGAGGTTTAAGTGAAATTGGACTGTCTACAGTCAAAGTGGACTCACGAGTCACATGGAGTTGGGAGACATGAACAAACTCAAACGCTATGCTTGACGCCTCATTCTAGTAAACTGTTGGTACATTTACATCAGGGCGGAGTTAAAATGTAAGGTTAGATTGTCGAAAATACGAGTATATCAAATACATATTGATTCAAGATTTACATGTTAGTGTTAAATATTTCTAATTTAGTCATGTTTAATTTGTTTTAGAGGAGCCATTACGTCTATGTTAGAACATATTTATCATATAGTAGATGAGAGATGTCAAAAACCTGGGGGCCAAGGGCACTCTAAGAGTGGCTCCGCGCCACTGGTTTACAATGAGATTTTATATGAATTGATCTCTGCATTAGTAATAGAAAAAATAGAGTGGAATGCATGTAAACAATAGAAGCAAAAGACATGTCAAGCAACAAAGACATTAGCCATTGATTAACGCATGAACAAATTGGTCTTAGTCACAGAAAAATTGTGAATCAGTTTTATGAACCCCAAACAGTCCTTGTTTTACATCAACCTGATTTTTTTTCCCTTTTTGCGTCTTCCCAAAGAATTATTTGAACTTTACACATGAAAGCTGATTCCTTCACTGCCTCTGGCGTTAGCTGTTGAAGTTGACAAGCCTCGAAGGTATTAAAAAACTTCGAGATCATAATACGCAATAGACTTCAAAGAATCAAAGGAGGAATGCAAATAGAACTTGAAATATGGATTTTGGCGTTCCCTGCTTGTCCCGAGGATGGGAAGAATCCATATGTGCAGTTATTGACTTCAAAGAATCAAAGAAGGAATGCAAATAGAACTTGAAATATTGATTTTGGCGTTCTCTGCTTGTCCCGAGGATGGGAAGAATCCATGTGTGCAGTTATTCCTTTGGTATGATCCCCTTGTCTTCCCTGAAATAAAACTCTTGTTCAAATGAAAATTAAGGAATCATATGAACCTAAAATATGTAATTCTCCTATATTTTTCGGGACAACGACATGTAATGACTGAAGTTGATAACAAGTCTTCACATAGTAACATATGGTGACTCACATGACAATTAGCAAGCAATCTTGAAAGTAGCAACATGCAGATTTAAGTGCCTAAGTGTGGTTATGCATGCACATGTTGAGTTTTACCTCTACAGCATCCTTGAGAGGCCCCCAGCATTCAATTCTATTGTACTTCTTCAAATTGGAATGAAAATAAACCCGAACCAAGGCATCCAATAGCTCGGGATGCTCTCTGAAAAGTAGAGAGTCTCCATGTAACACAGCTTTGAGTACCTGCTTGTATAGAAACCAAAAGTAGGAAATATTTAAGTAACGCAACATTCATTCAACCATCTCAGGCATGCCAAAGTACCTAATAAAGTCAAGCAAAATCTCAGACACAAGGCCGTCTTTAGTGTAATATCACCCCTTTCATGATATTTTGTATGAGAATTGCGACATTGCTAAATGGTATCTGTGTATCTAACATTATTTGGCTTGTGTTTTCTAATGTGTTGGCTGTGCAACGTATATGACTATGCATGGCCATGGAAGTGTTCATATCATATAGGCCTCTTAGAGTTACCTTCTCAAGCACCTCAGTTTCCTAATTATTCCCTTTTGCAACATTGCTAAATGGTATCTGTGTATCTAACATTATTTGGCTTGTGTTTTCTAATGTGTTGGCTGTGCAACGTATATGACTATGCATGGCCATGGAAGTGTTCATATCATATAGGCCTCTTAGAGTTACCTTCTCAAGCACCTCAGTTTCCTAATTATTCCCTTTTGCAACATTGCTAAATGGTATCTGTGTATCTAACATTATTTGGCTTGTGTTTTCTAATGTGTTGGCTGTGCAACGTATATGACTATGCATGGCCATGGAAGTGTTCATATCATATAGGCCTCTTAGAGTTACCTTCTCAAGCACCTCAGTTTCCTAATTATTCCCTTTTGCAACATTGCTAAATGGTATCTGTGTATCTAACATTATTTGGCTTGTGTTTTCTAATGTGTTGGCTGTGCAACGTATATGACTATGCATGGCCATGGAAGTGTTCATATCATATAGGCCTCTTAGAGTTACCTTCTCAAGCACCTCAGTTTCCTAATTATTCCCTTTTGCAACATTGCTAAATGGTATCTGTGTATCTAACATTATTTGGCTTGTGTTTTCTAATGTGTTGGCTGTGCAACGTATATGACTATGCATGGCCATGGAAGTGTTCATATCATATAGGCCTCTTAGAGTTACCTTCTCAAGCACCTCAGTTTCCTAATTATTCCCTTTTGCAAATAGGAGAGGAGATCATAGTAGTCTTAGAAGAAACGCTTACCAAAGGCATTTCTTTGGAAAATATGTGATATCTAAACTCTGCGGCCAGGTCCAGCATGAGATTGGGACCGCTCACATAGCAATGAATATGTAGGCACATTTCACCATTCACCCGTTTCCATTCTGCAACCACGTCATCCTTGCTGTACCATCCTTTTAACTGCAATAAGGATCAAAATCGCAATCGTAAACACCAAATGGACTATCAGATGCAACCAATCACATTGAAACTTTTTCAATCCTAGCATAGATAGGTATCATGAAAGAAAAACTTTAGAAGCATCAGAAGAAATAAAATAGAAAACAGACCTGATCAAGGTTGATGACATTGGAGATCGTTAAGGTTAGGTTAGCTGTGAAGTCACAATGTGATAGGATGTAAGTTCTTGGGATGATTCCTACATAATCATTGAACTCTTCTCCTATAAATTCAACTTTGAGCTTTGAAGCGTCGAACGTTGCTGGACCCAAAAGACTAATAGCCTGCAAACAAGAATATAAAATGTTCATTTGGCATTTCATGAACTCAATGTCAAAAGTGAGAGGATGCAGAACAGCTAAGATGTCATGCGTAACATAAGTATTCAACAATCACACGGTTGAGATCTTATAATATATCCTAAAATGTCATGTGAAGTTTCCCATTGTGCTAGGACAAAATCATTATTCTGAAAAATGAATGACCCTAGCAGAGCAGTATACTCAAAATCATAGGGAGAACTTTCTACAACAGAGAGGCATTTTCTACAAATTACAACCCAACTCAATGGAAAGATGCCATATGGGGGCTGCTGGAACTCAAAAGTCTATGAACTTCTCATGAGAATAGATCAAATTGTTTGAAACTGTACACTAAATTAAAATACAAGGTTGGATATAGGTGGAAAGTCGTAGTCATAAAACACATATATAATATTTATAAATTAAAAAAATTAAAAAAAAATTGAAGTTGGGCCATTCCAAGTTTCCAACGTTGAATGGAAAAGCTGAACATTTGTTAAATTGTTAATGTTTTCTTTGTCTTTCTTTCTCTCTCTCTCCCCTAATTTCCTCTTTCTTCTCCCGCGTACTGTGTGTCTCAAGCAAATCCCAAGTTCCAGACTCCCAGTACATCAATATATAATTTCCAAAGTCCACATAAATATATAATTTCCAAACTGAAAATCAAATAAATTTACTGAATAAATTAAGAAAAACATTCATACCTTCAGAGAAGATTTGACAGCATAGAAGATCTTCAAAGACAAAGAGAGGAGAGATCGCAAGAAGAAGGAGAAGATGAGGACTTGAGAGAGAAAGAAAACTGAAGAGAAAGAAAAGAAAGCGGCAGAATGAAGAGATGCTATGCTAGGGTTAAGTTAAGGTATGTTTTTTTAGAATAGAAAATTACAAAATTACCCCCGCTTAACGGGTTGGTTCGTGTATTCGCGAATGGACACCGAAACGACCCGTTAGCTTAACGGGTGGCTAACGGGTCAACACGATAACAACACGACACGATAACTCAAACCCGAATACTGAATTTTTCGTGCGAATTCGTGTCGTGTTATCGTGTCGTGTGGGATTTTGCCATGTCTAGTCTTGGTGGGTTGTGGTGGGGAAATGAGGGAGCATAGAAGAAATCGAGGGAAGAAGGAGGTCAAAGAAATCAGCTGGGTTGAGGGGGGAGGGGGGCGATGGGGTTATGCGTAGGGATGGGGTAGGGGGGAGATGGGTTTCTAGTTTCTATGCAGGGAGGGGGTGGGTTACGGATGAAAAGAAGGGGAAGGGAGGAAGATGGGTTTCTGGGTTCTGCGTAGGGATCGAGTGGAGGGGGGAAATGATGAGTTTCTAGGCTTCTGTGCTTGAGAAGAAGGTGGGTGGGGTGGATTTGGTTCGACTCGATGAGAAAGGAATTTTTTTTTTCTCAATTTAATGTTCGTATTTTAATTTTTTATTACTTTTTTATCCATGCTGGAGGTGGGCTCCGCTTTGCTACATCACCCACTCAAATTGGAGTAAATGACCTAGGTGTACAAAATTACTAAAACAACCCTGCCACGTCATCAAACTTAACGGACTTTTGGATGGAATTGATGATAGGGGGCAATGTGGAATATCAAACTTTGGTCAAGGGGTCAAAGTGGGTCACTTCCTATTTGGTTCACGGAACGGATTTGAGGGGAAATCACTTCCCATGTCATTTCCCAAAGGATGGGAAATGGAGATTTCTTTCCAATGTTTGGTAATCCTAGAAAAGTAATTAAGAAAAATCACTTTATTTCCTTTCACATGTGTTGGTCTGTGTAGGAATGTAAAATAAAGTTTGTTTAATTTCAAATTATACCCATATGAAATTAAATATATAAAAAATGCATTTAATGCTATATTGTAATTCTAAATTGTTAATGAGGACAATATGATCATGAAAAATGTGTATTTAATGTTGGCTCATTTTCCCAAACTTTAGGAGGGCTTCACTTTCCCCACTATTTTCCCATGTGCAAGGCAACGATTTTCCAAGAACTTACCAAACATAGGAAAACAAATGATTTTCCATCCAAAGCCTCATTTTTCATGGACCAAACAGTTGGTAAAGTGGGATTTTATCATTATTTCAGGGAATTAAGCCTATATTAAATTAATTTAATGTGAAGAGCAGTGCTAGTGATATTTGTGCTTGTCTACAAAGTTGAATTTGGTATATAAATTGCGTGATAAGGAAGGAACTACTAAGATTCCCCCTGGTGGGGTTTTGGGGGTTAACATAAGCTTTCTTACTTTATTGGGGTTTCTTTTGTTGCAGATGGATTTCTATATTTGTCCTTTCTCGGTGCTTTTGAAGCCAGCATTCTTCATGGAACTTGTTCTTACCAAATGGGTATGCACATTTCTACTCTGCTCTTGGCTCATCTTCTCCGGAGTATACTCAGGTAGGTGAGCTCCAATGCTTCAATTTCTTGAATTATTCGGTTCTTTCTTGAACACGCTCAATCTTGTAACATATCAATGTGAAGCAGAATTCATTCTCTTTTGGTTTTTAAATGTTATATGTTGTAATTGTTGATCCAAGTGGAGGGATTGCATGGGGACTCCAAAGTGAGAGGAGTGAACTTGGGTGGGTGGTTGGTTGTGGAAGGTTGGATTAAGCCTTCACTTTTTGATGGCATTCCCAATGGAGACATGCTGGTGAGTTTTCTTTCTAGATTTTCTTGTTTTATTTTCAGAATTCTTTTATTTTTTGTCTTCTGGGTTTTCGTTATTGTTTCAGCTGACCCATTTATGGATATTGAAATGTAGGATGGAACACAGGTACAACTGAAGTCCGTGACCTTGGAGAAGTATGTCTCTGCAGAGAATGGGGGAGGGAAGAACGTCTCGGTTAGTAGAGATGTTGCATCTTCATGGGAAACCTTTACGGTAAGATGCCTGATCAAATAGTTCATGCCAGTAGTTTTCTGTTGATTGTTAACTTATAAATAGATCTTGAGTCTTGTCCGATTAAAAGTATCCGTTAAGCCCTTATGCTCAGTTTTTTCCCAGAAATAGGAGAGAGAGACTAGAACCATAATGATTTGAAAGAACTGAAAACATTCATTTAAAAACTATCTTTCCTCTCAATCCCCTTTTCAGAAATCTGAAGCGGTTGTTAGGTAAAGGGGCCACTGATCTCATGAAAGAGCTAGCAACCCTTATCCTAATTTGGTAGATTTTGCTACATGATTAGCATAAGGTAAAACCTTTGGCATATCAAACACCTTACATTTAGCTCTTTATAGATATAAGACTTTTCAGCGTTAGTAGTATGAGATTTTTGAGTTGGTAATGAAAATAAAAATCCGTTTATTACGTAGTTATAGTTCAAAATAGCTTCTCTCTTTCTCTATCTCTCTCTCTCTCTCTCTCTCTCTCACTCACTTCTTTCTGGTTTCTGTATTATAAGGAAGGGGAGTTAACTATATATACTATAAATATATGCTTATTGGACTCTAGAAAATTGAGGTCTTCAGTTTATTTTGGTTCATGTTACTCATGCTTATGCTATGTGTTTTCTGTTCTCTTGCAGTTATGGAGAGTTTCTGAATCAGAATTTCAATTCCGCACCTTGCAAGGCCAGTTTCTAACATGTGATGGCGAAGGTTGCTCTTTTTCTGCAACTGCAGAATCACCTTCAACATTAGAAACCTTTCACATTGAAAAATATAACAATGGCAGAGTTCACATCAAAACAATGAGTGGTACATATTTGCAGGTATGATCCTTTCTACTGTGAAAAGGATGAAGAAGACCCACATTATTACATTTAGAGTGAGGAATTATGTGTTTTCATGCTCTTAATTCTACCACAATTCATCTAAAAGCAGGTTAAAAACCTTCGACTAAAGAATTTTTCAGCTGTTGGTGAGACAGTTGTCAATCTCGGATTTCTCAGCATGAAATATTTATGTTGGGAAATCATTTATATTTTGGGATAGTTAATTTTCTGATTTAAACATTTTGTGTAAGTTGATATGTCAAGTAAGGATGATGTTTTTCAGAATTTTCAGTTAAATTTAAGAGAAATTTGAATCAGGGTAATTGAGATTCTTATGCTCCATTGCTCCATTTGTTTTGAAGAAATGACTCAAAGCAGAAAAAATCTTCTGAAGGTGACTTATTCCAAGAAAATTTCAATTGTTTGGCTTGCATGAAATTTCTGTGAAATGAGTGAATCTGTAATTATCCAATTACAGTTGATATTATTCTTAAAATTTATGAACAGTTGAGGAAATTTTCCACAATGTCATTACCAAAGGAATGCGTAGAAAAAGTTCTCTATTATGCCCTTAAAATATTCATGTCACCACTTAGCATGGGCTGACTTTATGAATATTTATTTTGCTAGGGATCTATTGATATGGCACCTAAGAATCATTATCTCATTGTCGATTGCCTGTGACTGTCTAAGAATTCAATAATAAAGCATTATCACCTGCAGGCTACAGTGGAAAATCAGCTCATCGCAGACTATCCAGGGAAGCCAGGATGGGATGATAATGCAGCCACATTTGAAATGGCCATTGTTTCTAATAATTTGCATGGAGATTACCAGCTGGCAAATGGATATGCACACAATAAGGCCAAAGAGGTTCTTAAGGTAACTGTATGTTACTTTCTAGCTGCCATTATAATGGGTGATTTACATCCTCTATATTATTTGATTTGATTAACTTTTTTGAATGGTATGCACATACATATCAGAATCGAAGCGGCAATAATTTTCAAATCTAGAAAAAGGGAAACAATTAGAAGGATGTGTATAATATGCTTTTCTTTTACTTTACTGATTCTATCTATATTAGTAATGGCAGAGCAATGTTCAAAATGGGAGAATAAATTTTACTGAAATATGGATGATAGAAAAGATATTCAAACATTTTTAGGATTTGACCCTTGCAATTTTAGTACCTATTTATTCCTTGTTTGCACATATTTGGCATCTGAATTTGGCTGTCATCTACTTTTGCTTCCTCAAGTTTCTTGTTCTGTTA